TCAAAACTCAAGGACTTAATAGGATCTCAAGGTAGTATAATGAGAACTTTTTTCCTTGAATTTTCTAACAATGATTTCTACAGGAACATCTACTCAAAGACATCTGGGCCATAACCAAAATCTCTGTGGAATAATTTTGCGTAAGGAGGGGAAAGTTGAAAAAAATTAAAGATGCCTAGAATACACAATTTTAAATTTGGAATCAATTACAGCAGTCCTCACTTTGCACTATTCTGATAGGAATTCCAGTTACCATGGTTTAATCAAATAAATTCCTCACAAATAGTCCAAATTTCAATTACCACAATATATTAACTGAGTAACTGCATGAAGTACAACTTCACTGCTATTTCTTCAGTTCAAAAATAACTATGTAAACAGCAGATGCCCCATCATGATCAGTGGTCAATCATGTCACTTCTTTTGAAGACTGTTGGTGACTAGTCACTGTACATCTGACATTTAGGTCATGCACAGACAGCAAAGTATGGAGTTTTGTTACCTCCTTGTTTCCCAGTGATAAACCCATGTGACATTTTATAATGGAGAAATCAAAAGAGGAAACTAGGCAAGAAACATGAAAGAGTAAAGAAATAAAAACTGACAAATGCTGGGAGTGAAATTTGAATAGACCATAAACGGAATAAGAGAAGAAATAGCTGATTGTGGGAATGTTGACATTACTGCAATGCAAGAAACTCTAGAGACGAAGCCAGAAGAACTCAGCGAAGGTGGACTTACTGATATAAATGAGGAAAGTGAGGAGGATGTAACAAAAAGAATAAAGCTGTCCCAGAGGAAGTGACTGGCAATAAAATAAACTTTAAACATTCAAAAACATTAAAGGAATTCTTTCATGACATTGAGAGTGCAAAGGATAAAACGGTAGAAACTGATCCAAACTTAGAAAGGGGTATGACAATTCACCAAGCCATAGAGAAGACACTTGCTCTGTATCCAAAGTTATAAAAGAAGAACACACAAGTGTTGTTCAAACTACTCTTGATAACACACTTTCATTCTCAATGTTTCTAATGATTTAATTTACCACATACTAAATACTAGCTTTACTATTTTTCATTTCTCAATGTCGTTGTTATTGATAATAACAGAGTTTTTAAGGTTTTAACAAAAAAAATTTTTAAGGTCATGGAACAATACAATAATAGTTTTTCCCATTCATTGTGAAGATTGTTTTGCAGAGTTTCAGCTTACATGGTCATGTTTATGGTCTTGCAGTTTTGTGCGAAGCAAGTATTGCCTGTATAAGACACAGTTATAAAGGCAAAGAAAGAACAGACAGACCTATCTCAAAGAATTTCAAAATGTTAGCCAGTTCTTTACATAGAGTTGGACCTTAATCCTGCAGGAACTGGAGCTGTAGGTGGACAGAACTTAAAATGATATCAAAGAGTGAGAAAGAAGAATCCTGAAAATCAGCCAGGAACTTAATTGTCAGTAGAGTGGCAAACTGAGTTGGTGTAGTTTTCAGAACACAAACAAAGCGTGTTAAATGCAATACTATCAGTTAAGGCTTGGTGTCTGATTCTAGCAATCTCAGAGTCGTTTGCTAAGCATAGAGATTTTGCTTAAAAGTTCCTAAGTTAAAGCTAAGCTAAAGATGAGGGTATTCAGGAACATTTCCCTGTGAGAGGCCTTTATCTTTGACACATGGTCCAGGGCTCACCAAGTCCTGGCTGGGCTCTGGGAGTTTAGGAGTCTTCTCGGGCTTCTTCCTCAGGAGGGCCAATGGCATCCCTGAGATATCATTCAAGATACAGCTCTGGTATAAAGAAACTCTTTCTCCTCAGTGAGCAAACGAGGGCATAACCTGCTGCCTTTACTGAGAGTTTAGCCTGGTAAAGGTCCAGGTTTTGTCTTGGACCACAGAGTCTCACATGCAGAGCTGGAAAAACCACTGAGAGAAATTCCCTGTAGCCAAGTACAGACCACAAATGGTAATCAGGAAAAGTGAAAGAGAACTAGAAATCTATAAAATAAAAGTCATGGGTCTGAGTTATTATGAACGCTTTAGGGGCTTTACCATACTGGATTCTAAAAAACATACATCGAAGCAGGTGGAAAATAGAGGTGCTTTCGGTTTCTATTTGGTGGAATGCTCAGGCCATCAACAGGAGGCACTAACAGAAAAGTTAGATTTGGATCCATGACTATCTCGAAGATGTGACAAAGGACAGGATGCACATACATACAAGCCTCCCTGGCTGCAATGACTTAAATGTGGGTGCTACAAAGCCAGGGCAATATGCATGTCACACCCACATTTCAGGCATGTAGCTAGCTCTGTGTCCAGCAGTCGGCAGGCACCCCGTCACTAGGTATTTGCAGAGTAAGTAAACAAATTAGGTCAACATTCTGCTCTCCCAATAAGTTTTAACTACTCAGTATTGTGTGCTTAGATACAGGTTCACCCTTCATGGAAAGAAAATCCTCAAAATAAATGCAAAACGAGGAGGCAGCAGTACAGTGCAGAGGTACACAGTACTAGTTCAAATCCTAGTACTACCAGGAAACAGCTGGGTGATTGCGGGCAAATTGCCTCATCTATCTGTGCCTGTTTCTTATCTACAAAATGGGAATAACAACAGTGCCTACGCCCATAGAGTTCCTGGGAGAAATAAATGTCATTTCAGATACAGAGTACTTTGCACAGAACCTGTCAGGCAGAGCAAGAGCTCCACAAATGGCTAGCTACTATTATCATCAACACCTTTAAACGTGAGCGCAGGCTGGGTGAATCATGCATAGACATACCTCTTCCATGCACATACACACACATCTACCTGTTTCAAGACGAGCCAAAACAAAAAATTACCACCAAAATATTTCTTTTCACGTTCCTTAAAATATGACCAGTATAAAAAATATAAAAAAAGAACATTCCACCTTACTAACACAAAAATTACAATTAAAATAAGATGCTTTTTCACCCATCGAATTAGCAGAGATTTTAGAGTTATAATATCAGAATTATAACTGAGGTGAAAGACAGGTATTCTCATCTGCAATAGTAGTTGATACAAACGTTTCTGGAAAACATTTTGGCAGTATGTATCTAGAGTCTTAAAATATCTCTGCCATTTCCAGGCTTCATATCTTTAGCAGAGTTATTTTCATAGTATCAAAAAAATTGGAAACATCCTTAAAATCCATCAAGATGAGAGTTAAGTAAATTATAGTGCATTCACGAAAGTAGAACACAGGCAACTATAACAAGATTTCTGAAGACACGGGGGAAAATCAGAATGTACAAGCATATAAGCTGTATGAGTCCATTTATGGTTACCTTTTTTAAAAAAACATAACAAAAATGAATAGAAAAAGACAGAAAGGGAAATAGGAAATTCACTAGAATATACCAATAGTTTATTTCTAGGTTTGGGGACTACAGATGAGTTTTGTTTTTTTTTTTTCAATAACTTCCTACTTTGTATGAGGTGTTCTAAAGTGACATGTATTTTTTTTAAGTCAGAAAAAACATTGTAAAGCTCATTTTGTAAAAATACAGCCAACGGTGCACAAACTCACTCCTGGTATTTCACTAAAAATAATGTCACCAATGATAACATCTGGATCAGCAAACATCCATCAAGCCAAACTCAGAAAATCACACTATGTGAAATAATTTCATGATCTTTAAAAAACGCTGTTCCCTGCCCACATCATATGACTTAGCGTTTAAAAAGCCTGGCTCTGCCAATGTGGTTAAAAGCTTTCCCTAATATCACTGATGTCAGAATAGGTCTTAATGCTATGTCAGTCCTTTTCTTGATATAAAAAACTAAGAAATTCTAGGAAAATTTCAAAAAGAAGTCTAGACACTATCTTGAAAGTAAAAGTTATTAAATGTCTTGACAATTGCCACTGCCACTCCTTTCTCCCCCTTTTTCCCTTTCAGACAAAAGTTGAGAACATTTCTGAAATCACTGAGCATTTCCAGAATGCCATACTTTGAGAAAAGTGCTTAAAACATATAATCAATCAGTTATCTCCCTTCCATGTTTATATATCACCATAGATATACACAGCTTAAACTGCTGAGTAAAAGTAAAATTCATAAAATATACAACTGGGCAATCCACTGCAATATTTTGCTAGCTTTTGTATGTTTAAAGGTTGCAGAATAAATTAAAGAAGCAGTATTTATTCCTTGCCTATACAAATGTTTACTGGTCTTCAGGATGCTACAAGGAAAGAAGGAATAAATCTTGTATTTAAAAAGCTTAAAAGTTTAGACTGTCACCTCTGAACTTCATTAATTTTGTAAATTTTCTTTACCAAAATATGAAAATATGGTTGATTAAACATTAACCATAATACATATTACCTATCTGCCTAGTAATGACAATTCTATATTGTTGAAGCTAAATCTAGTGCAGCATCAAGATCTGCCCTAGGAAGTCTGGTTATGTTACTATTATAGGAAAGCAAGATCAAAGAACATAACTCTTTGGTGGCTGCTTCTTTAGAGGCTGCAGAACTGCACAGAGAGGAGGACAAAACAGGGTTCCACTGGACTTTTCCAAGGGTGAACACATGTACACAGAGAAATTCAAACTGGGAAAATAAAAAGAGGGGAATCTAAATGCTCCAAAGTATAACATCCTATTTCAAAACTAATGCAAGCTGTCACCACCTGTTTACCAAATAACATAGTGTGTGTGTAGATGTTCTGTGAATATTAAAATGTGGCATGAGTTTCAGGTGTTGTTACTAATATTCCCACTATCCATTCTTAAGAGATTAAAAAAAAAAAAAACACCAAATGAAAACCACCTTCTTAGGAATTAAAAGTGAACTACAGCAAAACGTAGGCGACAACATATACTTCAAGGAGACTAGTATTATTCAAATTACATACTCATATTTATCATAATAGCACTTTTCCTAGTACAACTTTAAATATTTCACTGATAATGTCTCCTAGAAATAACTGTATCATCACTGAAGCATAAATGAAAAGTAGAAATAATACTTACTTTTAATACCAAACTGTCCCCAAAACAGGAGTATAGCAAAAATTGGGAAAATAACAATGAGAATATTTTCATTTGGAGAAAACCATGAAACTGGGGAAAAAGAAAACAAAAGTCACAATTAATATTTACTAAAACACTTTAAATCCTGCTAATGGTCTATAATACATGCTTTATTATGGAGATGGAAAAAAATTAAAACTGTGGCCTTATTTTTACATATATTTATTTATATACACACATATTTTATGTATACACACATATACGTAAAACAAATCACATATACAAGGTACTTACGTAAATTTTATTTATGAAAAAAAACTACACTTACTTAATTGTTTCTCACATTTTTCTTATGTTTCATGGAAGGAAGTAGTGCAGTGCAGTGGCTGAGAACAAGGCTCTGTGGCCACACTGCCAGGGTTTGAACCCAACTCTAACTTAACAGTCTGTGGAATCGTGACCACCACTTGACACCTCTTTGTTCTTCGGTGTCCTCAACTGTTACACCAGTATAGCACAGTACCTGTATCTTGAAGGACTGTTGTAACTACTAACAAAGTCAATAAAGTACATGCAAAGGGCTTAAAACAAAGCTTAGCACTCACCAAGTACTCAGTTAACTAAAATCAGTATGTGTTCATGTGCTGAGTAGCTGTGTATGTAAAGTCCCAAGAATGCACCTTCAAGTAACAATGAAGCATTCCTGTAAAGACAGACTCAGGGAAGCTAAGCGAGGAAGATGCACCACTAGGTGCTCTCTTCTCACTGTGGCTAAGATGGAGAGCGATGTGCCCGGTCGGTCTTTTCTCAAACTCACTCTGCAATTATCCATGCACAATTAGGCTTCACAAGGACTGTTTATATGTAAAGTAACATGAGTGGCTTTAGGGTATTCACGAAGCTGTTATTAAGTGGGTCACATGTTACTTTTATCATAAAAATATATCCACATATCCTATATAAAGGAAATTAAGATATTAAGACTTCAAATAAGATTTGTGAGAACTTTTAAAAATTAAGTTTAATTGCCTCTTATAAACCCCTAAGACCATAATTTTAGCCATGAAATTTCTGCTCTAACAATAAAGCCAAGTAAATGGACTGAAAGTATTCCGGAGTTTGCCTGTATAAGGGGCCGTGCGGTTGGAAGAGTACTTCTAATACTGCCTTAAGCAAGCACTGGCATTCCTCTGAAATCAACACTTCTTTCGAATTTGACCATGCACTACCCCTCAGGTCAACAGGTGAGGAATTTTCCAACCTTTTACTCCATAATGATAGCCACATGTTTCTTGTGTTAAGCTTATAATGCTATAATAAATCCTGGTAAAATGCTTATATCAATCCCCAGAATATAACAACATTATAAACTCTGTTTTACAGATACTAGCTTTTCAGAATCCAGCATTTTGTTCTATATGTAGTAGAGACTCAATATGTTTGCTGTTGAAGGTGACAATAGTCATAAGACAGTTTCATGAGTGAATGGAAGACCTTTTTTTTAATGCTTCTTTGGTTGTAGATCTCTACCGAGAGATGTTTTTGGATACTCTGAATCAATACCTTAATTTCCAATTGTATAACTGAGTATCTTCTTGTACCAAAGAAAAGTCACTTCAGTATAGCCTAAATCCCTACCAGGAAAACATTCTGGAGATCATGCTTGGATTTTTGTATCTAATCCCCAATGGATTTGGTAAAGCTGTATGGTCTAATAGCCATGCTTAATCGATGTACTTTTCCTTACTTCCTCTGTGCTTTTAATTGTGTACCTCAACTCAAGTCCTCACAATTATCATGTGAGAAATTATTAACCCCTCCTTATAGTCATAGAAACTGAGGAACAGTGAATTCAGGCTCTTCAGTTATCTTAACTGTTCAAGTTCCACACTGAATCCTGATATTGCCCTCAGCCCATCCTCCACAAACTCCCCCTCTCATTTTCCTCATTTCAGTCGTGGTGACCCCATTTCTCCAGTTGCTTGAGGCTGAAAACCTTGGAGTTACACCTGACTCCTTGATTTCTCCCACATCTCACTCTAGTTAAACAGCAAATCCTGCTGGCCAATATCTGATCTCATATTCAAGATGAGCTGACAATGAAATGTTCTTTCATTGGTCTCTGCCCCTATACACACAAAAAATTTAGGATATATTAATAGACTATTAATATACTAATATTAATTTGAATGTATTAATAAAAGTAAGAGGTGCCTTCGACCCTGGAGTGACCACTCATTTTTCACTTATTCCACGAACACTTATTGAAAGTCCACCATGGAGAGGAACTCCTCTAGGCTCTTGAAAGCCAGCAGTGAACAATGCAGGGGACCCTGAGTGTACAGAGTGGGAGAAGCTGAGGCAGTAAGGAAAGGCCTATAGGGAGAGGAACAAAACTAAGCCTAGAATGGAAAGGAGCCTACATTGTGAAGACAGAGAGGAAGAGATGCCAAAGTAACAGCAAGTTTGAGAAACCAAAGGATGGCCACTGTGGCTGGAATTCAGTGATGAAATCAGATGGGAAGAGTTTGCTGGGGCAAGACCATGTAGAATCTTAACAGCTTGTTGGGAGAGTTTGGATTTTATTCTAAGAGCAATGACAAGCGGCTGGAAGGCTTTAAATAGGGAAGAAAAATAACCTGACTTATTTCAAATCTTCTTTGGCAGCCACATGGAGAATGGATTACAGGGAAGCAGGACCTGTCAGAAAGTTACAGCAGCAGTAATTTGGAAGGGAGAAGGGTGTGACCAACAAATGCAGTCCTGAGCTCAGTTTTACTCATCACATTTGAAGATATAACAGGGAATTGCTCCAAAGGAAGATGACTAGAATGGGGATCCTGAAACCATGAGCAATGGCTAAAAGAACAGAGATTTTCATCACAGAGAGGAATAAACTTGAGAGAAATACTACAGCCCCCCCAGTGAGTGAGAATAGCAGCAAATTTTAGCTTGACTTAAGGAAGAACTGAAACTGCCTGAAAACAGACCAAGATCCTCTGGGAAGTAACAATGTCTCATCACATCAAGTTTTCGGTAAAAAATCTGAATCGCCAGCTACTTGGGATGTGATAGAAATAATTCGTAAATTAGATGATGAGATAGACTAGATGACTACTGAATGACTCCCAGATTCTACGTGAAAACAAGAAATATGAGACATTTCAACGACAGAGAGGAAGATTATAGAACAAAAAATACTGTCTAAATGATTCTTTTTTTTTTCTTTTCAGATGGAGTCTCGCTCTGTTGCCCAGGCTGGAGTGCAGTGGTGCGGTCTCAGCTCACTCAACCTCCACCTAGCGGGTTCAAGCAATTCTCCTGTTTCAGTCTCCCAAGTAGCTGGGATTATAGGCAGGCGCCACCATGCCCAGCTAATTTTTGTAATTTTGGTAGAGACAGGGTTTTATCATGTTGGCGAGGCTGGTCTCAAACTCCTGACCTCAGGTGATCCACCTGCCTCAGCCTCCCAAAGTGCTGGGATTACAGGCGTGGGCTGTCACCCCCACCCTAAGTGATTCTTAACTGGAACTTATCAGTTTGTCACTCTCCCTTCTCACTATTGTGCCAGGATTTTAAATTGTTCCCTGGTGTGTGTGGGGGATGGGGAGGGCAATCTATGGAGAAGGGCATCCATAATTCTCTCGGTTTGAAATCACTGTTGCACATTTCTGCTGGATTTGAGCTACAGTCACTGATGAACAGGTTCCTCCTCTCTCTAATTTGTTACAGTGGGAAAAGTTTGAGGATCACTGAATTAGATATTTAAGAACCAATTGAGATGCTGGGAGAAAAAAAAAACATTTTATATAAAGACACTTGCATGCCTGTTAATCTATTGATTTGTTATGGTAGTATTGTCAGATAACGTTAACTCTTGTTCCTCAAGGGGAGAGTGAGACATGATACTTCTTTCAGCTCTGAATTTCTATGCCACTAAGAACATAAATTAAGCTTAAAATGGACTAAGAACAATGTCAGATATTTTTCCATCACAAGATTAATAAAGGTAAGCCAAGAACATTCACATCCTTATTCTACCCAAGCTATGGCTGACAACTGTGTCTAGCACTCTCCTCCAATTCCTGGACAGGCAGAATGGCTTTCACAAAAATGAACTTCTTGCTAGTAGAGAGGCAAAGAAGTGATATTACAAGGGTGTAGTCTACGAACGAGTGTCTAATTTTTACTTCCAAGCTTAAGTGTTATTAAAACCCAGAAACCCAGGACCTCATTTGTCTTACCACTGTACAAAAATGAGACAACCTAAAAAAGTGAGGACACCATTTCTATCAACAAAGTGTCTCCTTCAAACCTCCACAAACACAGGGAACACCAGGTTACACACACACCCCACAGTAACATTTACAATACTAAAATGCAAACCAAATTTTTACTTGATGTTTCAGGATTGTGATGGCTTTTTTTGATGAGTTGACTTGCTAGGATACAGTCCCATTATTTATTTAATCAAACCCAGAATTCTAAGGTGGTCCCAAAACCACTGCCCTAGCCATGCATCTTTTATACTTCCCTCCCCTTGTATGTGGGAGACTGAGACTGTGGATGTACTGGATTTCATTTCCGTGCTTATACCACCTAGCAAAAGGGAGTCTGCTGATGTAATTAAGATCCTGAATCAGCTGACTTTAAGAAAGAGAGATTATTTTTGAGGGAGAGAGAGCTGACCTAATCAAGTGGTCTCTTAAAAGGATCTGGGTTCTTCCTGGCAAAATAAACTCAGTATGTGAGAGGGATTCAACAAGAGGAAGATTCTCCTTTGCTGGCTTTAAATATGCAAGGGGCCAGGGGGCAAGCAATGAGGGCAATCTCTAGGAGCTGCTAGAATTCCCTGGCAGATATTTAGCAAAGAAACAGGGACCTACCTCAGTCTTAACAATCACAAGGAATTGAATTCTGCCATAATTATGTGAGCCTAGAACAAGACCCCAAACTCCAAATGAAAGTATGCCCTGGGCAACACCTTGATTTTAGTCTTTTAAGACCTTGATCAGAGAACCCAGTCATGCCATGACCAGGCTTGCCACCTACAAAACTGTGAACTACAAAATGAGTAATGTTTCAAGCTGCTTTATTTGTAGCTGTTATGCAGCACTAGAAAACTAATACAAAGATCTTGCAATGCCTTCATGTCTTCATCATGAACAGACCGTATGTCCTGTTGATAATAATGGAATTGGCAACTCTGTGGAACTTGAACTGACCTTTCTAAACAAAACTCTAATAGCTTAGAGAAAAATAAATTTTACGTTTTCAAGTTTTGGTATTGCTAATAGAATAGAAATATTAACGACAAATTTTATGATTACTATTACTTGCATTTAGTATTTAGTTATTTACAAGCTGTTGTCACATGAACCACATACTATGGTGGTAAAAATACTGGGTTTTGATGCCAAAGAGATCTAGGTGTAATTCCCGGCTATTACTCTGACCTTGAACAACCTTGAATCTCTTTTGCTTCCCTGTTTGTTACATGGTAAGACCTCCATCTATCTCCTAGAGTTCTTAAGAGGATAACAGGACACGACTTACATAAAGTATGTGGCACATGTGCAAATAAATGTTAGGTCACTTTACATATTTGTACTGCAACCACTTCCTTGAAATCAGCAATGATGTCTTCCTCATCACGGAATCTGTGATACCTAGCATGGTACCTGACGCATGGTAGGCACTTAGTAAAATTTTGTTAAGTAAGAGAGATATTATTTATATCTCAAACATTTCCATGATGGTGATGGCATCTTTATTGTACTAAGAAAAATTTGAGGGCCAGATAGGTTGAGTTTCTTATCTAACTTTTTTTAAAGCTATTAAACAGTAAAGTCTAGAAAACAGTGAAGTCTAGAAAACAGTGAAGTCTAGAAAACAGCTTTGTAAATTCAAGTCCAGTGCTCCTTCCAATGGACTACACTATACATAGGCACAGAGGTATATAAAACTATATCTTACAGTGTTTCCATGTATTCAGTCCTAGTCCTCTAAAAAATAAAAAAAGGCACAAAGAATGGTCACTATTATCTGCGTTCTATTAAGTATAATTCACTTCTCTATTGAGAAAATTCTGTTTCTCATTTATGCCTGTATTTGCAAAAATCACAACATAGTAAAAATGGTTTCTAATGCCTAAATCCTCAAAGTCCATAACAGGTAAGTATTCTTACTAGAAAAAACTTCTTCTCCATAGTAAGAGTCCTGCCCCATTTAACCTTTTTGTGCAGATAAGTTTTTAACTGTTTTTTGTTTGTTTGGTTGGTTTTTTTTCAGTTAAAAATGGTTACAACATAGTGGTACCAGATACTGCTGAGGATGTGGAGAAACTAGATCATTCTTACAATGCTGATGGAAATGTAAAATGAAATAGCCACTCTGGAAAAGTCTGGCAGTTTCTTTAAAAACTAAGCATATACTTACCATACAGCCCAGTAACCATACTTCTGAGCATTTATCCCAGAGAAATGAAAACTGTGTCTACACAAGAAACTGTACACAATTGTGCACAGCAGTTTCATGTGTAACAACCCAAACTTGAAAACAACCAAAATGTCCTACTGTAGGTAAACGATTAAACAAACTGCAATATATTCATACTAGGGACTACTACTTAGCAAAAAAAAGAAAGGAAAAAAAAAAACTATTGACAGACGCAATCACTTGAATAGATCTCAAGGGCATTGTGCTGAGTGAAAAAGCCCTCAAAACGTCACATCCTGTATCATTCCATTTATATAGTATTGCTGAAATGACAAAATCATAGATATGGAGGGCAAGTTGGTGCTTGCCAGGTTAGGGACAGTGGGAGGTGGTGGTATGACTAGTGAGAATAAGCATGAGGGAGATGTTTGTGATGATGGATAGGTCTATGTCCTGATTGTGTAGGTAGTTATGCAAATATACACATGATGAAACGAGAGAGAACCATTCACACACTGCACCATTGTGAATTTCCTGATTTTCATATTGTGTTATTGTCACATAAGAGGAAACCACTGGGGGGACCGGGTGAAGGGCACATGGAACCTATCTTTGAATCATCCTGTAAATCAATAATTATTTCAAAAAATTAAAATGGATGCAAAGCCAAATGTCTCAAACCTCTGGTAGAATTTTCTACATTCTCTATAATAAAACAACACTTTCTCCTTTTAATGGCCCCCAAAATAAGTCTAGTTCTTATTTTTATAGGATATTTTGAAAACAAACAAAGATAAAACAATCTTTCAATCACATGCAAAATTATTAACTGCTTTCTTCTCAGATCCTGGCATTCCTTTCTCTTCCATCTTCATTTCATCTTCTGGCCTTTCGAATCTCGTATCTTGAGTTTTCCAGTTTACCTCTCAGATGATCTAACTCCAGTTAGCTGCAGTGCATATGACTGACTGATTACACCCTTCCTGAAAGGTATACTTAACAACAACAAAAAAAGCTCCTTTGCCCAAATTAATATCAACAGTAAAAGCTACAAGGTAAGGGAGAGTTCTTAGCAGAAAGACCTTTCAGATTCTCCTTGCCTACTCGGAGCCATTCTCTGCCCATTCCTCACTGCACACAAATCCCTCTCACAATGTGACACCTTCCTTCACAAAATAAACATCCCAGGAAAACAACTAATGTTTACAACACACTTTGGTTTACAAAAAAAACACGTTTACACGGGATCTCATGTGATGCTCATTAGACTATAGAATACATAAAAGCAAGTATCTATTGTCATCTCTTGGACATGAGGTCACTTGGACTCGGTTAAGTACCTTCTCAAGATCACCCAGGTGAATAGTCAGTTGCTGAACAGGGGCTATAACTCAGACCTCCTGATTCTCAATCCTAAGTAATGTCCAAACATTTCATCAAACCAAACACCCCATTCCTAATCTGGTAGCAGATGATTTTACAAAAGCTAAGCAAATAGTTGATCCAACTGAACAGAACTGAAGCTATCCAGAGTTAAGGTTCACAGAATGTGGTTAACCCATGATGGGTAATATGACAGGTAATTTTTTATTTTTTTGAGATTTTTTTAAAATTTTTAAATTATTACTATTATTATACTTTAAGTTCTAGGGTACATGTGCATAACGTGCAGGTTTGTTACATATGTATACTTGTGCCACGTTGGTGTGCTGCACCCATCAACTCGTCAGCACCCATCAACTCGTCATTTACATCAGGTATAACTCCCAGTGCAATCCCTCCCCCCTCCCCATGATAGGCCCCGGTGTGTGATGTTCCCCTTCCCGAGTCCAAGTGATCTCATTGTTCAGTTCCCACCTATGAGTGAGAACATGCGGTGTTTGGTTTTCTGTTCTTGTGATAGTTTGCTAAGAATGATGGTTTCCAGCTGCATCCATGTCCCTACAAAGGACACAAACTCATCCTTTTTTATGGCTGCATAGTATTCCATGGTGTATATGTGCCACATTTTCTTAATCCAGTCTGTCACTGATGGACATCTGGGTTGATTCCAAGTCTTTGCTATTGTGAATAGTGCCGCAATAAACATACGTGTGCATGTGTCTTTATAGCAGCATGATTTATAATGCTTTGGGTATATACCCAGTAATGGGATGGCTGGGTCATATGGTACTTCTAGTTCTAGGTCCTTGAGGAATCGCCATACTGTTTTCCATAATGGTTGAACTAGTTTACAGTCCCACCAACAGTGGAAAAGTGTTCCTATTTCTCCACATCCTCTCCAGCACCTGTTGTTTCCTGACTTTTCAATGATTGCCATTCTAACTGGTGTGAGATGGTATCTCATTGTGGTTTTGATTTGCATTTCTCTGATGGCCAGTGATGATGAGCACTTTTTCATGTGTCTGTTGGCTGTATGAATGTCTTCTTTTGAGAAATGTTTGTTCATAACCTTTGCCCACTTTTTGATGGGGTTGTTTGGTTTTTTCTTGTAAATTTGTTTGAGTTCTTTGTAGGTTCTGGATATTAGCCCTTTGTCAGATGAGTAGATTGCAAAAATTGTCTCCCATTCTGTAGGTTGCCTGTTCACTCTGATGGTAGTTTCTTTTGCTGTGCAGAAGCTCTTTAGTTTAATTAGATCCCATTTGTATGACAGGTAATTTTAAACAGAGATTTCAAAACAGAAAGAACAGACTCATATGGGGCTGAAGAACTCAGCTAGCACAGCAGGAAAGAGCAAAGAGAGGAGACTATTCAGCTAATTTTACTACCTTCTACACTTCACCAACCCAAGTTTGTGACAAAAAGGGCAGAATCATGGTGCTATAATCAAGTCTGAATTTGAATAAATTAATTCGAATCCCTAGCTCTCTCATATTTTGGCCAAGAAAAAGAAGACCAAAGTAAGGCTAAGCACAGAAAATCTGAAGAAATCATCCATGATAATGTGATTTAATCTCCTGATTCTCCTCTACTCTCTCCAGAGGAAGCATGGCTGGGACTTGCCAACCCTTGGTCAAAGTGTAAGGTTAAAAAAAAAATACCAGAAGGCTGAATAATTGGAAAGAGACTTTAAAATTAGACACAGGAAAGAAAGTATTTGGATGGCAGCAAACAGAAATGAAGAGTACATTACCCCAGGACCAATCACCCAAATAGAATGGTCCTTAGACCAAAAGTTTGAGAACCACACAATATACAAATTAACAAGTAATACAAATTAAATAGTAAATGTGTTTTACTGTGAAGAGTAGACTAACAAATAGGATAGAAATCACAACCTTAAACCTGCTAAACATTACATCAACATTTATTATTAATAGCCTGCTTTTTGATTCAAAGGAGTACCTATCCCCATTTGGCCTCCTCTCGAAAGAGGATCAGGTTGTACCAGAACAAATAAAAAAAAAGAGCTTTCATAGAAGTCTTACCAACACGATATTTTAGCTCAATGATCGTTTCACCTTCTCTGGTTAATTCTGTTACTTCACAAGTGTAGTTTCCTGTGTGTGAGACAGCATCACTCTTATCCAGCTTCAAAGAGGCATCTCCTTTTAGTAATTGTGAGACTTCAATTTTTGCACTACTAAAGTTAGCGGGGGCAGTGGACTTGTTTAGAGGTCCATCAAACGTGTAAATATCTCTTCCTTTAAATTTCCACTTTACATATACTTCGGTAGTGTTTTGTGCCTCCATATTAGTAACAAAGCATGGAATGACGACAGTGTCATTACAGAACGTGAATTCTACAGATTTTGTTTTATTAAATAGTAGCTGAGCTGATCCTGGAAAGGAAAAAGAAAAATATTTCATTAGTTATAGAAGTCTGCACTGTAAGATCTTAAGTTACAAATCCTTAGGATAAACAGCAACATTTCCATTGTTCACTTAAGTAAACAGTATAGCAACGAAGAAGACCTATTAGGTGAAACACAGAAACAAATTATATTTTAATATTAACTTGCACAGCTGGAAGGCATCATTATGACTTTTCTTTATTCATTCTCAATAATACAAAGTATACATTACACGCATCTTGGGAATAAATTCAGCAACTATGTTAGAACATGCAGGTGTAGCATCTGGCTTCCAGAGCTTTGAAGTAATCATTACTGCCTACTGATACAAGTAGAAAAATATTGTACTTATCAAGGTAAAATTTTGAACAGAAAATCAAACTAAATATTTTATTCAGTTTCAACTTCAATACACTGCTAAATAGAACTTGCTGAACTGATATGAAATTTATCTTTACCCTTATGCTGCATTTCCAAAAAAAGTGGCAGGTTCTACTGTACTTTAATATACAAAGTAAATAGGATGAATCAAATCATATCTTTCCACTAGGATGGAAAATCCTAAAATACTAATGAGGAAAAAAACCCAATATCTGTGGCTACTTTCCCATTGCAAAATATAGGCAGCAATAGACATTTTGTATGGGAGTCTTGAATGACATTTTCCCACCCCTACATTTCATTGACACTACAGAACAACAATCTCCAAATGTGTATTACAGGTATTCTTCCTCCAAGAAACCACAAAACAGTGAAAAAGCTAAGATACAAGTTGAAACCAAGAGCAGTTACTGCTAACAAGCATCCTTTCAACACTTCTCAATAGGATAAACTACCAGTTGTTGCCTTATAGAAGAGGGACTGGGTAAATAAACGTAATCACTCATTGTTCAACTAAAACGTACAAGAATGTGTAGGAATTATAGTTGTCTTCCATATTCTTCAGCCATTCAGCAATTCTTTTATCTAAGTAGCTACTTGGCCTTCCCCTCAAAATATAAACAAAAACAAAACACAAATTACTAACAAATATAAATAAAACATCAACTTTGTTAATAGTTCACAATTAAGATTTCCTTCTACATAAACTGGAATAAAAATCAGAGGCATAGAATGTTTCTATTGTAAGAACACAATGTTTATTCAATAAATACCCCATGAATTGAATGCAAGGATGCATAGTGGAATATGTACTGGATAATGTTCAAAACACCTGAGTAAAAATTCTATTTCTACCTCTTTTTAATATGCTGCCTTAAGCAACTCACTTTTCTATGCCTTGATTTACTCTCTAAAATAGGCAGATCTCTTAAATACGAAGATCAAAAACAAACACTGGGCTACTTCACAGAACTGTGTTGAGCATTAACATGGAAAATACAGCAGCAAGTACTCTCTAAACAATACTATGCTGTAAAAACGTAGGGCGATACTATAAAAACTAGATAATCTGGCATTTTAATGTAATGATATGGACCTTCTTTGACTAGTCCAAATGGTTATATTTCTGGGAAACTGCAGTCTGAACCTACATTGTGGGCATCCACAGCTCACCTCTTCCCAGTTTTCTACATTTCTAGCTGCCCAAATATTAGGAAGCCCAAGGCAAAACCTGGACTTCTGTTGCATTCTTTAAAACTTTGGAATTGTGAATTCTTTCCCCTGAGAGAGAAACACTGAGGGAGAGAGAACGTAGTATACAAGAGAAGAAAAAGGGGGTGAAGATGTTCAAATTACAAAGGAAGGCAAGTATCAGAAAATATGGTCAAGATTTTGAAAGGGATACAAAGATTACTGGGTATTCTTTCAGCGAAGTGCTGGGCAATGTCTAACAGACCCTGTGGAATTACCTGACTCTATAGAAGCCTGCGTCTTTCACTGACTTTGACTGAGCTGTTTTACAGTTTCATAAGTTGTAGAAAACTGAAGGTAATTCAAATGGATTGGTGTCCCTAGAGATAAAAATAAATCGTGTTCTGCAATTGATTTCCACCTGGTGGAAGAGAGGACTCCAAAAGATTACATTTTACTGCCCTGAGGATATTGACCAATTTTGCATTTATTAGCAAATTCACTTAGGCATTCTTGATTGCCTATAAAAGTGTCTGTTTTTCCAATTTTCTTTTAAAAGGGTTTTGCCTTCTTGCTGGTTTGCTTGTTAATTAATGAGGAAAATAAAATCTTTGACACATTTTCATTTTATATTTGCATGAATCATGGTTTGACTTTTTAGAGATTATTCTTAAAAAAAAAAAAAGAGGTACAAATGAACTCAGTCATCCTATGAAACTTTTTGCAAAGGCTTTAATTAAGTAAGAAAGAAGTAGTTGGTGAACAATCCACAATTTCATAAATGTTTAGAGAATGAATTTTCAAAGGAATACAGAAAGCAATAATTGCACTGCATTATTTGTCATAATAAAAACATTTTATAGCTGAAGCAATTTAAGTAGAATAAATGCTATTAGTAAAAATAACAGTAAAATTGACCTGGATAAACCATAATTTGAATAACCTTTGCACTAGTAATTAATAAATAAGGGCAGGCCAAAAATATCACTCTAGCTGTTAACTACAACTTCAATCTCTATACTAAGATGCATTAAAAAACTATTAAGCAGTAAAATTGTCTGACTTGGGGTTTCTTCCTTTTGCCTACTGCCTTCTCATAAAACAGCAAAGTGAAGAAACTATTTAAAATGTAGAGAGCAAATAAAGAAACACAGATAATTAACATGAATAAGAAAACTCTGAATAAACAAAATAATGCTTATAGCAGTCTAAATCAGATAGAAGTAGACAAATGTAACCAAGAGTAATGCCAGAGTTACAGATAAATTAGCAAATAAAATGGGAAAATAATTTTATATCAAATGCCAAAAGTATTAGACTTGCAACCTTCATTGGAACTGTACAAGTACTGGTGAATATAGACTATCAACCCAAACCATCTCAGATCACAGTCTAGAAAACAGCTTTTTAGTGGCAGAGAAGACTCAATCCATGGTGGTCACAGCACACAAGTTCAGGTTAGAAATTTTAAAAATGCAACCAACATTTGCAACCAACCATCACAGAATTACCTGTGATGAAATATTGTGACAGGATGTGGGGATACAGCAATGAAAAAATATAGTTATTATCTTTTACGAGCTTACAATTCTCATATGGGCGATGATAAGTACTTTATATAATACAAGGTTACAAGTGTTATCTTCTCTGTATGGATAACGTCCTTATGGATGGGCAGAAGAGTAATCGGTCTTACAGACTTCTAAGAAAATTTGTGTTGCTACTAGGCAAAAACAGAAGAATGTCATAGTCCCTGCTCCTCCAGGCCTTCAATCTTTATCCTTTTACATGTTTCATGTAAATGTTCTCTTCTTTTTAACAACTCTTAAATTACTCCCTTTTGCCCTTTATCCCACACTCTCCAACAGTCCTGTCTCCCTATTTCTTAATACAAACTGAATCCTTCAGAGGAGAATCCTGAAGCTTCCAATACTCCTTCCCTATAAACTTACCTGCAACCCCAACTATCCACACTTTTTTTTTTTTTTTTTTTTTTGCTTCCTTTTCAGAAATGAATCCCATCACCTGAGAGCTAGTTTCCATTTCTGCTCCATACCCATCAGTCTCCTCAAGGACTTCCCTTAGTTGATTATCAGTCTCCCACATCCCCCATTCCATTTACAAGGTGTTTTGTGTGTGTCTTTAAAAATTGCTTGAATATTCGCCAACTTAAAAAAAAAAAAAAAAAACCCTCATACTTGTTTCTCTCTTCCCTAGCATCCCAAATTAACAATCTAAAGCATTTCCTCACTTCCAATTCAATCCTTAAATCTGTTACCGGCCTCCACCCATTCACCCCTATTTCTTTACTACTACAGCTCTTGCCAAAGTCACCATCAATCCCTTGTGAAAACTCAAATATGCATGGTTCACTTTCTGTCTTGTCTTTTCCGCAGTTTTTGAGCCAGTGGGTGGTTTCTTTCTTGCTCTTCTCTCTTGGCCTCCATGGTATCTCCTGATTATGAATTTCCTCCTGCTTGGTCCATCCCATGCTAGTTTGCTTTCTTTGTTGAAATCTATTCCTTGACTCACACTAAATGTTAGTGTCCCTAAGGGCTTCCGATTCAGCACCCTGTGCCCCCCAGTATTTTCCCTGACTCCCATGGTTTTCTTCACCTGCAAACTTTTAAATAAAAAACTTAATCATGCACTGCCTTTCTTCTAAACTGTAGATGTTGGACAGCCAACTGTCTGCTGCGCACTTCCACTTGGATATAATACAGTTACTTCAAAGTCAGTATGTCCAAAAACTTATGTACCCCCTCAGCCTAAATCACTTTGCTAAAGCATTTTCTATCATCTACCAGTGAACCAGACCTGGACCTAAGAATCACGTTAGATTCTTCCCTCTCCTTAGCCATGGAGAATTCTTAGTAGGTTCAACCTAATTAATAATTCCTAAATCCAATGTCTGTTGAATGAATGAATTGGACACTTATCCTCTCCCTCGAACTACTGCCATACCCTCCTAACCAGCTCCCTGCCTCCATCCTCAAGGTTTCTCCATCCTGGCCCTGACGTATTTTCTACAGTTCCCAAAATAACTGTTCTAAATGCAAATGTGCACTCCTTTGCCTAAGATACTTTAACAACACCCTCAACCCTTTTCAGGCTAAATTCTAAGTACATTAGCATGGAATACAAACGAGGTCCTTCAAGATCCTTTCCAGCCCCACCTCCTGTACTCCCTCATTTCCACACTAAGCGCCAATCATAATGACCTTACTGCAATTCCATGACTATGCAAATGCACTCTCACCCCCATGCCTTAGCACATACTGTTCCTCAAACCTAAACAGCCTCTTAACTATCATACACTATTACCCCACTGAGTACATAGGGTGTGTAATAGTTAAGAGCACACATTTAGGGGTCAGACCCTGGTTTAAGACTCAGCTCATGCACTTCTTAGCTGT